GTAATTCAAAGCATTAAGGCATGCAGATGTGCACGCTGAAGTTCAAACTGAGCATCAGGAAGAAAGGTGAGTGAAAGCGGCATCGTTGTTGGTCTGAGTATTTCACAAACTGCTGATCTCCTGGGATTTTCCCACACAGCCATCTCCGGGGTTTACAGGGAATGGTCTGAAATGACAAAATTCTCTGGTTCTCCGGGTGAAAATACCTTGATGATGTCAGAGGAGAATGGTCAGACTACTCTGAGCTGATATGACGGCAGCAGTGACTTAAATAACCAAGGTATGCAGAAGAGCATTTCTGAAAGCAGATTATGGCAGCAAAAGACCACAGTGGTGGCCACTCCTGTAAGCTAAAAACAAGTAACTGCGGCTACATTTTGCACAGACTGCACACAGATGTCCTCCACAGTCACCAAATCTCAGAGCAGCAGGGCATCCTTGGATGAGCAGTTGTGACACAAGACGGAAAGTATGTACTTCTGTTTTTTGCAAGTAAACCTCTGACAGTGTATTTCTCTATTTGCTCCTTCATACATTTTTGAAAAAGGTAATTTGATTGAAAACACTGATGCAGTGCTGGACAGTATTCAGGAAAGTGAGTGATCACTCTTCAGTTGTGACTGACAGAAGTAAAAATGGTTTTGATGAGCTTTGGAATTCTGGTGGGAGGAGCATTAAAAAAACAAGTCCCGAGTCTTCTTTGTCTTTTTTTCCCCATTTCATTTCATGTGCCAAATGTTGGTGAACAGTCTGGGCTGGTGCGGGTCAGTTCATCACGTGGACGCTTCTGCTGTGAAGCCTTGCTGCTGTGCAGTACGCATGTTAGCATCGTCTCAGTGAAAGATTCAAGAGCCGGAAAGACATCATCTGGACGGAGCATATGTTCTTCTATTACCTATATATAGCGTTCAGCCTTTCCAAATGTGCAACTTCCCCGGGCCCCATTGCCCTTCTTTCCCTTCTTGGTTGCGGCTTTTTAACCCAGGGGGTTGTTTTTTTTCTTTTTTTTTTGCAGGAACTTAGAATGATCTGACCAAAGAGCAGTTTTTGACTTTTTCTCTGGTTATTTTTGGCTCAGAGAAAACAGCAGCGTTTCTGGTGGATGGAAGTGTTCCTGTACCCACCCCCTCGCCCCCCAAGGTGCATTGACGTCCATGACGGAATCAGGCCTGTTTTTAATGCAGTGACGCGTCAGGACCGGAAGATCACGGGCATCCAGTATCAATTTTCAGGCGAGCGCAGAGATTCTCTGAATCTTTTGTACTGCAGATGATGACAGAAGTATTCACAATTCTACATTCAAGAACATTACTTTAAAATTATTCCACATTTTTAAAACGCCGTTTTTATACTCAGCCATATTACCGCCCTGCTGTAATTAAATGTTCATTAAATGTTTCTTCAGCTGTCTCTTTTTAGTTCCCAACTTCTTGAGACGTCTAGCTTCCATCGAATCACGTTTCTCTCAGAGTTGTACATGTTCTCAGTGTAAACATAAAAATAAAAAATAAATAAAATTCAGGTTTAAAAGATTTTCAAATACGTATTTCTAAAAAAAAGTTACCAAATGCATTTTGACATCAAACTGAAGCAGCAAAAAAAGCAAACTGCCTCCTCTTATCCTACTCACTCCTCCCAATAGCTGTATGAGTCCTTGACATCTCTTAACGCTCAGATTGAGCCCAAAGTACATTAAATGCTGCCACTTAAGAGTGACGTTTGAGTGAAAACAGTGGGACTGTATTTAAAGTTGAGCAGTTTGGATTCATACTGTTGACACACAATCTTCAAGTTTACAGCACAAGCTGGAAAAACCTTTTCCTAAATGAAAAACTTCGTCTTGTTGTCACATTTACAAGCAAACACTCCCGAGCTACACTTTTCACGTCATTATGGTTTACTCCTCTGCAGGTGCATCTCTACTGCCACCATGTGGTCGGAAGTTGCGGCTGCTGCAATCTTGTGCACATTTCCACTGACAATAAAGACACAGCACACAGACAAGTTATTATTTTCCAGTAAAAAAATGAAACAAAAATAAAACAAAAACAAAACAAGACTTTATTAAAGAAGCATAAAAAATAAAACTCTTGATACATTTCTCATAACCGTCAAGTCAGCTCAAATTATACGATCATACAATTTTTCCCGGCTCACGGTTAAAAGGTCCATAAACTTTCAAATAAAATATATTTCAATTTTAAAATTTCTTCAATAATTTTCTCATTTTGTTATAAATCGCCTATATGTAGTACACAGGAAATAAGGAAAATTAAAAAAAAAAAAAGAAAAAGAAAAGAAAATGGAAAACAAAAATAAATTTGAAGTAATAAAAAGGGTCACATTATTGTCTGGGATATTTAGGTAAGCAAATAAATTGTAAAAAATAAAATGTGTAAAAAGTTTTTTGTTTTTTTGTATTTTTGTTTTTTTTGTATCTTAAAAATTATTAGCTAATGCCAGAAGGCTCGAAGACATGCAGATGGTTAACTTACAAATAATAATACATGTTTTTTAGAAACTACGTTCATCTTCAATTAAGTTGTTTTGCTTTGAAAAACAAGATCCCGATGATTGTATCCAGGGTATATACATACACACAGGTTAGGCCTGAAACCTAGTTTGCTGACGTTTTACATTTTGGTTCTGCATACAAAAAGAATTAAAGCAAAAATAGAGGAGAGCAGAGGTTCGAGGGGAGTCTGGCACCCCGTACTGGCGTGGCTCTCTTTGCATTCCCCCCACCTCTAATCACAAAAAAGGTCAGAGGTCACTGGCTAGCATGCCTCAGGAAACCCTGTTTTCAAACCTTTAGGAAGGAAGTGGGGGAAGGGGGAGACGTCTTGTTAAAAAAAAAACAAAAAAACAAAACAAAAGAAAAATCACCAGTCAATCTGGAAAAAAAAAAAGTACCTTTTAACAATTAAACTACTGTACATCAACCCTAGCATTCTCTCGACGGCCACAAACATCCTGGTGCAACAGCAGGATCTATGCTGAACCCATCTGGAAATCACAACACATTTTATTGTTTAACGCGTCACCTCAGACAGTTGAAAGTAAGAGCTTTAAGTTGGGCCTCAGACTCGCATCAGTCATCACAGAATGGCTCATTTAGACGCGCTCGCAGCCCCGTGTTTGCTCTGAGGAACACGCTCCAGCCCCACGGGGCCGGGTGGGCAGTTAGAGGGGGAGGGGTGAGGGCGAGAATGAGAACAGGGTCATTGGGTCTACAGTGCATTGGAGAAGTTGATCTGAGAACAAAACGGCCTCCCTTTACAGACTTATTTCTCCTGCGTTTGTGCAGGGAGTTGCACTAGAAGCACCACGAGCTCATCTGCGCACCAATTGGTGCGCTGCTGCTGCTCAACCAGGACAGCCTCGTCACGCACGTAGGAAACAGACAAAAATAAGTTAAACATCATCATCCAGGCTACAGCACCAAAGCACAGCAAAATCAGCCCACATATTTACTCAAGAGTTACCTTTAATTCCTTGACATTTAAACCCTGCAACTCGTCCTGATCTGTGAGACACCCTGATGCCACGCCATACACACCAACAGGATCTGCATGTGATGACTGTGTAGGGCAATTACACACACACACACCCCAACACACAAAAGACCCCCCCCTCCCAAAAAAGAAAGAAAGAAAAAAGCAACAAACAGAATAACTAAAAAAGAAGCACAACATTCTGCAGCTGCTGGGATTTGAACACGACGAGTGTCTGGAAGCCCTGGATGACCTAGCTACTAGCTGCCATAAAGGATAAGTTGATTCTTCCTACTGTGTGAGCCTGAAAATGTGATCGTGTGTCTGTGCGTTCAGAGGAAGCCCTTGTAAATTAGGTACGTCTTTTTCTCTTTTTTTTTCTTCTTCTTTTTCTTTAAAATTCAGCTGTCATGGCTTTGTCTCGTTCTATGAGCTGAATCCACGCGTGTCAGGGAGAGGAGAGAGGGGAAAACAAAACAAAAAAACCTGCAACTGTGTAACGTCACACAGACGTTGGAAAAAAATCATACACATAGTATAAAGACTACAGGAGGCAGTTACTGCAAACTCAATGAAATCAAAACACTAACAGAAAAAAAAACAACTTAAAAACAGGATGTACCCGCCTCACTGGAGTTACTCAGTAATGCTATGAAACACATGACAGACCCCAATCAACCGGCCACATAGTGCACTACATTTTGCCAGGAGTACAGCGCTGTATGGGGACAACAGTGACGTCAGAGAGTGCCGTACAGCTTCGCTGTGAGAAACAGGTGGAAGACCTAACAAAAACAGTAAGAGCTGTTTCTTTTTCGCTTTTAGTTTAGAGGGGCCGGGCCTTACAGTGCATGAAGAGAAGGTTCAATGGAGGCCCCTTGTAATTGTTTAGTGTAGGAGGAGCAGCAGGAGGCCTCTCTCCTTAACCTTAACTGGACAACACATTCTTGTGTGACATCAGAAAAGCCCCATCTTATTCTAGTGTTCAAAATATTGTCTGTAAGCCACACACTTGACAGTCAAGAGTCAAAAACTAGTATAAAACACCAGAAACAGGCGGCTCTGGGTGTAACAGACGTGGGAGGACAACTACAGTAGTGTGGATGGATCAGAGCGTCGCTTTCCTTCAAGACCGAGTGTGCAGCGAAGAACGGGACAGGGAGCAGACCTACTCACGGCGGTGCGACGAACAGCATGAGTGGGCGTTGTTCTCTCGCACACACACTCATACTCGCATATCGCAGAGACAGAGGGGTGTAAAGGGATTGTCAGGCTGCCCAAACACAGAGACCTGACCTCAAACACGTTACTTCACGTATGGTACGTTTCTCACCTATTAAAGGAAAATTAATGTGAATCAATGCGACAGCCACATTTGAAATGTGGGGCAGACTCATCCAAACGCATCCAACATGAATTCACTCAAGAGATGCCTATTAATAACATTCATTTGGCTTACTTACTGATGGCTATTCTTTTGTGGCAAAGAGAAACTGGAATTGATCCTTAAGAGGTCCCTTGGGTTTATTGTTCTTCTAGGTGCCTGACAACACGGCGATCTTTAAAATAAAAACAGAGAGGAAAGTCCCAAACTTACAGAAAAAAAAGAGGAACCTTGCCACTTTGTGCCACAAACAACAGCATGAGTGAGAGCAAAGGACAAAGGGATTTGTTGGAAACGGGCAGTGCCCTGTTGAGAACAGTAAAATTAGGGAGTAGAAAAGTGCAGGCCTCGTCGACAGCTTCATTGAAAAATATCTGTTAAGTACAAAAGTGTCAAAAAGAAAGGCTGTGAGACAGAGAGAGAGCGAGAGAGAGAGAGCAGGCAGAGATCTGAAGAAGAAGCCAGAATGAAGAAATGTTGAGACAGACCAGCAGGCAGCCACAAGGGCCGCTCTGGGTCAAAAAGAAGGCCTGAAGAGAGATAAGACACTAGTTTCCTTCCGTTAAGTTCAACACCAAGAGACTGGCTGAGCTCCAACTGTCTACAGACCAGTTTCAATTAACTTCACTCTGAAAATAAGTCACTATTAATTATTATCATCATCATTTATCGACAGTTACCAGCAATAAATCAGCATCCTTATAGTATCGTCATCTCTATTAATGCATTTATTATGGTCCATCATGTGTGTGAAGGTTATTATTGTGACTCCTTCCATTGTCTCTGCCGCAGCTGGTGCCCCACTTGGGACCGTTCCCCTCCCATCCCACATTTTACCCCACCCCACCACCCCTTCCTTTGCCCGGGACATTACGAGAAGATGCGGATGCACTGTGTGGTAGGAGTGTGACAGACGGGGCATTCTGGCTCTGTTGATTGGCAGATCTGCCCAGCGCACTCCATGCAGAACAAGTTGTGGCCGCAGGGCACCAGGGCTGCCGTCACCTCGCTCTCGAAACACACGAAGCAGTCCCTGTTGACCCCGGGGGTGACCCCAACCAGAGCCGCAACCCCGGAGCCAGAGCTGCCTTTCAGTCGGCTCAAAATCCCAGAGGTGAGACCCACACCGCTGCCGCCTCCCTCTGAGTCAGTAGGCGACCCACCGGGGAGGGAGGAGGCCGAGCAGGAGGAGTAACCGGTCGATGAGCCGCCGGAGCTGGAGCTCGATGCTCCGGAGAAGGAGCCGCCGCCTGCGTTGCCAGACTGCAGCCAGGAAAGAGTGCTGAGGGGGTCGCTTTGAGCACGACGGGCAAGCGGGTGATCCAGAGGGGGGACCACGCCTGTGTCCTGAGGCAGAGTCGGGGACAATCGTGGAGTGATGGCGCCGGCGCTGACGCCGCTGCTATTGCGACGCAGAGGCTGCTGCTGAGAGGAGCTGCCCGTCTTATTGCCCGATCCGCTGTTGACGAAAGGCGCCCAGATGTTGGAAGCACTGAACTCGAAGCCCAGCTCGTCTGACGAAGGCAGTCCTGGGGTGGAGTCGCCCCCAAAAGTGAATCCCCCAGCGCTGCTGGAGCCTGTGCTAAAAGGGCTAGTGGGACTGCCTCCCTCGGTGGCCTTCCGGGCGGTGCTGAAGCTGTCTGCGCTCATCCCGCCATTGTGCGTGTGATAGGGAACCGATGAGGACATCTTCCTGCCGGACGAGTGGTGTACGGACATGGAAAGAGCAGAAGGTGGGGATGTTGGAGGAGGAGGGGGGGCAGAATGGTGGCTAGTTGCCCTGGACCACAAAGTCGCCCCCAGTCCCCCACTCAGGGAGCCAAGGCCTTCAAGACTGACATCAGTGCCATTAGTGTGGAAGTCATTGTCTCCCTGGAGGTCTACAAAGGTTCCAGTTCTCAGGGTGATGTGAGTCTCGATCTCCTCTCTCGCTCTGTCCACGTTCTCTGGCATCCCAGTCACCTCGAACACGGGGTCTTTTTCTCGACTCGGTGTCACGATGTAGGTGTGAGTCTGCTGCTGGATGCGCTTGATTGTTGCCCCTTTTGGTCCAACAACTAAACCGACTACTCTGTACGGCACTCTAACCTGGATCAGGGATAAAATAAAATGATATTTTAGCTGATTCTCAAGCAAAACAAGACAAAAAGTAAAAACATGACCCAGCACCACAGCAGGGCTACTGCACCTGTATAGTGGTCTGTCCAGGTAGGTTTGGTGGTCCGGGAAGGGAGCCGCCTCCTCCACCCCCTCCAGCTTTGCAGCGGGACGCCCTGATCATAGAGAAGTGCTCTGCTGCAGACACAATTTCACGCTTGGCCATCTCCACATCCTCCCTGCGTCCCGTCACGATGAACACAGGATCCTCGCCTCGCACCGGAGTCTTTATGTAGGTGTTTGTTTTGGCACGCAGGGCCTTGATCTTACAACCTGGAAGATTCAGAAGCACACAATCAACTGCAATGTTTTTTTTTGTTAGTTTTATTAGTTGATCTGATTTTGCTGACAATTAAGAATGCTTCACTTGGTAAAGTTTCTAATGTTTCTAATTGAGTTGCTCTCACTAATATGAATGGGCTATATTAGGCAGAGCACAAATTTCAGCCTAAATTTTAAAGCCTGACATCAAAAATATTTTTGTAACATACGCCTGGTAGCACTTTGGTGTAGTAATTTACACATTTGCCATAAAATATCCATCTATCCATTCTTTTCCGCTTATCCTTATAGGGTCGTGGAGGGACTGGAGCTTATTCCAGCTACCATAGGGTGAGAGGCAGGGTACACCCTGGACAGATCGCCAGTCTGTCGCAAGGATAAATAAAGTAATTTTGGTCCCAGGAGGAGACACAAATCCTTTTGAGTTGTGTCAGGAAGGGTAAAATGTGTAAAGGTCTACCACATCAAATATGCATATCTGCCCACTGTGGTGACCCTTTGTGAAAAAGGAAGGAGCTGAAAGTAGCATTTCTACAACATGATTGTATTAATATAAACTCAGACTTACTCTGGCATCAGAAGCCAAAAAACACGCTTCAGTAAAAATGAGAAGCATTTTCCTGACATAATCCACACCCCGCAACAGTGGTGTATGCTCCACAGTCAGAGAGCCACCAAACTACACAAAGTGTACCTAATTAACTGGCAACTACAGCATAAATGAAAAATAATCAGCCATTCCTTTATCATCAGCTCAAACTGAGGTATTGCTGATCATTTTATGAAACAGGCAGTAAAGCCAGCAGGTCTTCATGAAGCTCTCCACATTAAATCAGTGCTGCACTGCATGCCTCCTCCCAGCAGCAGCATCCACACTGCGCTCTGTGTCTTTAAATGCGGACGCTTCATTCTTGGCGGCCAATAGGACGCACGGAGCGTGATGTCATTCTGGGAAGCAGAAAGCATGGCTTTTTCAAACAAAGAGAACAATGCTGTAACGTTAGCGCGAGCGCAACGGGAAAAACAAACCGACGGCGTGACTAAATTTAAAGTGTAGGACACATCCGAATAGAAATCATAATTAAAGAAATAATCTCGAGTATAAACGTAGCGGCAAGTAGCAGCAGCGGCAGACTGAGCTGGGTGCAGGGCGTAACACCGCCCAGTCCCGTGTTTGTGCGTCTGCTGCTGCCCCGTTTCAGCCTCACATCTGCTCTGAGAAGCAAATATAACAAAAGCACAAACGCATGTATGAGGTGAAGGTGTGAGTTCAGCGCCGCATGTGATCTGCGGTACGAAGAAAATCTACACATTTCGCGATATTTCCTTTGTTTGGTGCAGGCTGCTAGACATGTCCAGACTCCCGACAATCTGCCGCTTTGTCTGACCCTCTCCCTCCCCTCCCCCTCCCTTCCCACTCAGCCACGCTCACTCCCTCACCCTCTGTCAGAGCATTGTCTAATTGCTGATTTTAAAAAAACAAAACAAACAAAAATCACAAATACTACAGCGGCATTTCATTTCAGTGGAGTATCCGCATTATGCTGCCACTGAAGAGCAGGAGAGGGAAGTGCAGCCCGACCACAACATCAAGCTCAGACAGCTGAAGTTCACAGACCCAGCTCACCAGGCAGTCACCCAAACAAAGAACAAGCTGCTCAACGGCACAGCCTTACCTTGTCTGCCCACTATCTCAGCCACATGCTCGGAGCTGGGGACGGGCACACACTCGGTCATGTTGACACTTCTTTTCCTGCTGCAGAGGACGGAGTTTGGTTCCCCGTGGAGCATGGCGTGGGAGCCGGCCATGTGGTACCCCCCTGAGCCATAGTACTCCGGGGATGGAGAGCAGGACGTCGGAGAGTCCCGAGACCCGCTGGGATGGTCCAGCATTTGTAGATCCACGAACCCCCCTCCACTCACACCGTTGCAATTCTCGGGTCCCGGACCCTGGGTCCCATCCAGGCTGTCCACAAGCCCGCTGCTTCCGCCGCCCCCACAGTCCACCTTCTCCATGGCCATCAGTGACAGCTGGTCCAGGGCGAAGCGGAGCGCCTCTTGGTGGTCCTCCTCCCGGGACTCCTGATCCGTCTCCCTGGACAGACCGACCCCGTTGTGTTGGCTGCTGATCACCACGTCGTGGTCCATAATCTCGGGGTGAAATAAAGGGCTAGGCATAGTCTCTCCGTGGATCTCACATCAGATCACGGATGCCTGTTTTGTTGGGAGTCCGCTCACCCTCTGCTGAAATTCAAAGAAAACAACAATAAAAATAAAAGGTTTTTCCATGTCTTCTATTAAAATACACAAAATACGAGTGTAACAGAGCACCGTGGAGCCTCAGATCACCCAACAATAACAACACGCATTAACAGTATTGATTTGAGCGCCTTTGCTTTGTCTGTTGTTGCTGTTTGTCTGACAACTGAGCTCATCCAGGAGGTTGACTGTTTTGCCCGTCCTCACAACCACATACAGTATATTCCCGAGCCTTTTCGGTGCCGACTCCAGCCGGTCCGGTGTGTGCTGACCGAATTTAAACGTAAATTTAAAAACAATAAACAGATAAATGAGCTGTTGTTAGCTCCAAGAATCAAAAGCTAGCAGGCTAGCTCCACACAGTCGGCACTCAGTCACGTTGTCGACCTCTTTGTTTGAGAGCGCCGCGGTTAGCTGCTTTAGCTCTGTTCTGACAGTCGAACTTGTGTTCACATTCACAGACTGCCGTGTTATTTTTTAAAATTAAATAGGTGCGGAAACCACGAGAACTTACTTTATCTACGTTTTGTCGATGAAGTCCTCTCTTCACTCGTAGCCCAGTTCTTTAGGGAAAGACGTGGAGCAGACTGAAGGAGGAGACCTGTGCTGTGCTGTGCAGCGCTAGGAGCTAGCGGTTCGGCTAACTAGCAAACCGAAAGGGGGGCGTTTGAGGAGAAGAAAAAAAAACGTTTAAAACCGAAAAGAGGGCACTGTTGTTTTTCCTCCTCCAGGAGATTTCCACAGGAGTGTCACTGCCTCTTCATTTCTCCCAGCGTCAGGGAGGGCTCTACTGAAGTCCAAGGTTAGCGGTTACCTTTTAGTTTAAAAAAAAAAAAACAGTGATTCTCGGCTTTCTGCTGCTGCTCTTGCCTGCCTGACCCCGGTCGGTCCGCCGCCTTTGTCTCGCCAGGCGCACGCCGCTCCGTCTCCCGCACACGGCACTGACGTCACCCGCGACACAACAATGAGTTCAAAGGCCACATGAAGCAAGGGGAGAGCATCAACGCACAGCAGTCTGGGCTACTGTCACCCCCGCCGGGTCTGTCAGAGCACTATTTCACTCTCCTCTTTCGTGGAGGTTTTTGTAGCGTAACTATTAAGGCACTGATATACGTTTAAAAAAATGTGACCACGGTTGGGTGTGTTCATCATGGCTACCAATGAGGTGTTTGGGGTGGTCCAACAGCATCACTGAGCGATGCTCATGCACTAGTAGTTGCTTTCTAAGATATTTGTTAAAAAAAAATAACCAAACTCATTAACGCGCCACAGGGTTGTTCTAGGGGTTTTGATTTAAGTTATTTTTATATAAGCGCATACATGTAAAAAAAAAACACATCGGCATGCTTCCTTGTATACCTTTAGTCAGAGGCACAAAGATGAAATTTATTACTAATGCTGACTGATTTATCTTATTTAAGTATGAAGGGTTACATGGGTGTAGGGATCCCTCCACTGCCAACACAGACAAAAGGAATATACTAATTTATTACCCCCCCCCCCCCTTCTTCATCGATATAAAGAAACTATTTCCGAATATTGTCTTTTGATTCATGGTCTGTCTGAAAGGTTATACAGGAAGGACTCAGAGTAGAGCCAGCTGAGGTGGTTAGCATTTGACCAGCATGCCTCCTAGGTGAGGTGGGAGAAGGATATGCTAGAGGGATTGTATCCCCTGGATGGCTTGGTATCCCCTCTGAAGAGCTGGAGGAGGTGGCTGGGGATGGGTGGTGTGGGTGTCTTTGCTTACACTGCTCTCCTATGACCTGGATGGATACGGTTTAATAAAATTTGTCCTGCGGGGACATTAAAGTTCGTTTTTTGTAGGTATCACTTTAACAGACACTAAATACAAACAAACATACAAAAGGACACATATAAGAAAAATGCCTTTATTTGACAGAAAACAGTACATCAGCAGTGTGTTTGTATGATCTGAGGGAACGCACCTTTTACTGAAATGCAATAGTAGTTGTTCAAAGAATAGTGAAAATACAAATACCATGGCTTCATGTTCAAAGCTATGTAAACTCAAATTATTGTGATCAAAAAAAAAAAAAAGTTTGAACTGTAAAACTGTAATCATCACCATCCAGAGCCATGTAAAAATACTGCTGCATTTCTATGCTTTCAAACATGACATGCTAACTTACAGTGTCAGTAAAACATAAAAAGCAATAGCAGGAAATAAAAACACTTATTAAAACCAATTAAAATGTAACACACACACAGATCAGTCGTGTACATAAAGGTTTGCGTTTTCAACACTGAGCTTAAACAGCTGTTAACTAAACATAACACTGCATTGTGTAGAGCACCATAACCAGCTGCCGGACTTTAGTAGAGGTAAAAATGAAAACTCAGAGCACCCTTACAGGATTATAAGGTCATATGTTTAAAAAATAATAATTAAAGACCACAGTCTTTGTTTAGGTTAGGGAAAAAAATCTGCAGAATGTCTGCATATAAAGTCTGCTTCAGTTTAACTGCATACAAACCTTCATGGAGCCGTTAATTCGAGCATTGAAAAGACTTTACCAGCAAATGTCTCAAACAAGTCTGTGGGAGAGATAGAGGAGAGTTACTTGTTTAGGAATATACTGTAGGTCATATTAAATGCAATTAACCATGAGAAATTCAGCCATACTGTAGTGATTACTGCCTTTCTGTGTACCTTGGCTATAACTCCTCCTTCTCCACCTGCTCACCCTTCACCTCTGCTTCTACGTCTGCAGCGGTGTCTTTTATATGAGCCAGCATATCAGCCATAAGGGCTTCTTCGAGCCGCCTCCTCACATTCTGCACCAAGTCCTCCTGCTTCCTGAGGGGCACAGACAAGAACACATAATTTCATTAATGACATAACGTCTTTCACGACTTGAAAAAAGTTTCAGGGAAGGAAAAGTGCAAATCATTTGATGTCCACCAAAGAGCTGCACACTACACCTCAGCCCACCATGTGAACTTAGAGGGAGGCTGATTTTTATTTATTTATTTTTGCTCACTCCAGAAAATCATTTCATTTTCAGACCCAAAATAAGCAATAAATAAATAAATACATTCAATTCCCAGAGACATGAAGCTTGATAACTGTAGATGATACATCCAACACATGAACACAGAAGAAATGTGCATCTCCTCTGTGGAGATTAAGTCTGTTTTTATGACTTCTACATGGAGACGTGTGCTCTAAATTTTAATATGAGCACTTCAGTCTAGAAAACTTTGCACATCATTACAATAACTAAAAATTATAACATGTTTTGGGAAATTAATGTCACCGGTGAAGGAGGATAGTATGTATGTATGTATGTATGTATGCACACTCAATAACAGGGCAAATCTTTGATACGATCTCAGACACACATTTATGTCTGTGAACACAGTAGCTTCAGAGCCGTGCTCTTCAAACCGTATGTGATTGAGGGGCAGCCAATCAGCAGACAGGTGGCATAAAGCAGCGGTCCCCAACCTTTTTTGCACCACGGACCGGTTTATGCCAGACAATATTTTCACAGACCGGCCTTTAAGGTGTCGCGGATAAATACAACAAAATAAAACTAATACCGAAAAAAAGAAGATTTATTCATAACACACGTGAAACGACCAAGGAAAACAGAGTTAACGATAAAAACGTTAACAAAATAACGTTGAAAACCGATAAAAACCCTGAAAACCATACATTTCACAACTGAGCCTCAACTCTCGCGGCCCGGTACCAAACGACTCACGGACCGGTACCGGTCCGAGGCCTGGGGGTTGGGGACCGCTGGCATAAAGTGAGGGTGGCCTTCATGGAAGAAGAGGTAAAACAGCTGACTCATGCACTCAAGTCATGCAAATCTACTTTAGCAGAGTCCAAGAATAAAAGTCAGAATAACAGGTTCCCATTAAATATACAAAGAAATAGCCCTGTTCTCTATTGTTGTTTCTCACCTGGCGTCATACACACATCACTTGAGAGCTGTCTGACATACAGCTGACCTACATTTGTCCATCACTTCCATTATAACTACTACGGCAGCAAGTACCAGAGACCAAACCAAGGACAGGGAGGTTTCTGCCTGCTGGCTGAGTAACACACATTTTCTCCTAGTGACAAGTGGTTGCCAGGTGGTCACAGACTGGTCTCAAGGCCTGTGTGACTGGGTCCTTAGTCACTTGATCCTACATTGTGACCATGATTGTCACACGTCCAAAATGATAGATAAGTTAACGTCACATGGTTAGTGGTCACGTATCAAAAAAAGAAAAAGAAGAAAAACCACATATCTGCATTTTATCTTGCTTTTCGCTAAATGGACTGAGGCTGATGTGCTGTTCTCATCATGTGAACAATGACCCATAAAAAGACACCATAGTTCAATTTGGTATAAGAATATAAATGCGAAGTATGACTCATTACAAAGCCATAAAAGAGAAGCAAAGTAAATCTCAAGATTGAACTTTTGAACACAGTGAATTTAGTTTGTTTTTCTAACATTTATATAATAATGTGCCTGAACTGAAGGTCAAATAGAAAAATAATAATGGTGACTTGTGATACAACTGTCCCAAGTTTTCAGTGTGTAACACTTGTTCTCAGTATGAAATGTCCTTGGTTCAGAACGCTCCAACAGTCAAACATCTACTGTCCTGCAATAAAAAATAAAGTGCGCTGGTTTTGGCAGTGCACAAGTTTTTGATCATCAGCTGTAGCATGCTAGGTGGAGCTTCAGTAAATAGGTACAAAGTGCTGATTCACTATATGTTGAGCCTGAATTTAAAGCTGTATTCTTGTGTCACTGGAATAGAAAACTTCTGTGCTCAGAGGTCAAGTGACCGGCTACCAGCTTATACTAAATGTGAATACCAAGTCCAGTTGCATTTGTCCGCTGACAGCTCTGACAAAGCTTTTTCAGACAAGATATTGATGTCCTCAGTGACATTACTGTGCAATTTTAAAGCCTATTTAATGGTTTTACTATTGGAGTCCAGTATGTGAACCCAGCAAGGGCCCCTTGTGGAGTTTTTCCCTCCAAGAGCTCAGCTCCCCAGGTTAATGATGCGTTCTTCACAGAAACAAGAGATTGTTAATCTGAAGTTTCACTTCCTGATTAAATAATAATAATGATAATGTTGTCTGAGGCTTTAAGGCCCTTTTTCATTTTATTTCTTACTTTAAACTGGTCACAAGCCTTTGCCTTTTGACAATATACACCTTAAAGCCATGTCCACACAGGAAGTGATTTGTAACGACCACAGAAAGTCTGGGACATTCAGCAAACTACAAGCACAAGAAGAAAAAAAAAGATGACAAACAAAAGAAACCCCCAGTAGTGACGCAAACTGGGCGGGTTGCAGGATAAACTTCTCTAAATTTCGAGGTGAGTGATGGAAGCAACAACCTATGAGTGTGAAGAGTACTGTGGATTTGTCAATACATGGTGGTCAGTTTTGGTTTCTAGACCGCTCCAAGAATAAATTGATTACCTGATTTTACCCTAAACAGATTGCCTCAGCAAGCCCAACGTTAGCGGGTTACCTGGGCAACTGGAGCCTTAGCATTAGGAGTTTTTCCTTTAAAAGAAAAATCCAAATGATTCCAAAACTGAAGCTCATCATGCAGAGTTTTGTGAGAACCTGACACTTTAAAACTGTCACTGTGGTGGCGTATGCTACATGAGAACAGAAAACAGCAGTCACTGACAGTCAAGCCATTGATTGTTGAAAACAGCAGAAGCAGAAGAAGCCACCAGCAGTGGACTCAAGCCTTCATCAGTTTCCTATGCATTAACCCTGGAGAACCCCATGGGGTCAAATTTGACCCCATGGTTTCCCTAGAAAACCAATGGGGTCGGCTCTGACCCCATGGGTTCTCCAGGGTTAATAATATCACTCAGTATTACAATTAGAAAACCAGAGCTTCTTTGTGTTAAATATGAAAGTATCTCACCTAATATCATCATCAGTCACTACAAAGGCTTTGCAGAGAGGCTGCGCAGTGTTGAGCCAGACTCCTGGATTTTTCTCCACCGCAGCAGTGAGTTGTCCAGTGATGGGCGCC